AACTATAATCAGAAAGAGATAATAGCAAGTGTTGGTGAGAATGTAGAAACATTAGAACCCTCCTACATTGCAGGTGGGAATTAAATAGTGCAGCTACTGTAGAAAACAGGCAGTTCCTCAAAAAGTTAAATATACAGTTACCATATGACCCAGAAATCTCCGTCCTAGGTGTACACCCAAGAAAAATTAAAATATATGGCCATTCAAAAATTTGTATACAAATATTCATAGTAACACTTCATCATAGCCAAAAAGAAGAAATAACTTGAATGTTCCATCAACTGAAGAATGGATAAACAACACGTGGTGTGACCATATAATGTAGTATTATCAACAATAAAAAGAAACAAAGCATTGATACATGTTACAACCTGGATGAACCTTGAAAACACTAGGCTAAGTGAAAGAAGCCAGTCACAAAAAACCACATGGAGTATGATTCCATTTGTGAAACGTCCACATGATGAAATCTAATAAAGACAAAGTAGTAGTGGTTGCTAGGGGCTGGGAGGTTTGTAAGAAATGGGGAGTGACAGCTAATGTGCATGAAATTTCTTTGAGGAGGATGAACATGTTACAAAGTTGACTGTGGTGATGGTTGCACAATTCTGTGAACTGTACACTATTGAACTGTATACTTTAAATGGCTAAATGATAAGATATGTGAATTATATCTCAATAAAGCTGTTAAAATATTAATAGTGCCCTGGTCACATAGTTCAGTTGGTTAGTGTGTCATCCCAATACATCAAGGTTGCGGGTTCTATCCCTGGTCAGGGCACACACAAGAATCAACAAGTAAGTACATAAATAAGTGGAGAAACAAATCAATGTCTCTGTCTCTGTCTCTGTCTCTGTCTCTGTCTCTCTCTCTCTCTCTTTAAAAATCAGTTTTTAAAAAATGTTAATAGAAGTAATGTTTGGATAGTAGGATTATAGGAAGTTCTGTTTTAATTTAGACTTATGATGCTTTCTAACTTTTCTATAATGAATATGATTATTTTCAAGGATTAAAAACAATCTTCCCATGCTATCGAACAAAAATTTCCCAACGTTATCACTCGGAAAGCACTAAACACATAAAAGATTTTTTAAAAAAGGAAATACACCTCTCCTTCTCATGGAAAAACTGCAAACAATCCATATGACCTCGGCAGGGCGATCACTAGGCAAAGCAAAGCTCACCACCGTGTCACCCTGGGGGCGGTGATGCCTGTCCCCACCCCGGGGCTGGGCAATGGAGGCGCAAATGCTCTGGGAACGGATGACAATTTACTGGAGTGCTACTAAAAGTGATAAACGCTAGGGTGTACTCAGAACATTTTCTAACAGGCTATGGTAAACGTTCTGTGAAAAAAAGATGGAACAAAAATATAAACACAGGTTTTTACACTGTTGTATTTGCTGTGTGCTTGTAAGATAATCAGAAGTGATACAGACTGTCTAAATGTAACTTAAATTTTTTAAAAAAGGGAATGCAAGCAAGGAGCTTATGACTACCTTTTTAAGTTCTACTTTTCCCAATCTGTATTTAGTCTCATTTAAATATCTCTGAGAATGTGTTGCTCTGTGGCAGGCCACCAAACATGGGATATAGGTAAAGATAAAGCTAGAAAAAAACAAAAAACTGCCAACCCCTAGAAAATATATTCAACCAGCATGTTTCTTATTCATGGACTGTGATTCACCGTCCCTGTTGTTTAAGTCAGTATCACATTCTAATCATATTGCTAGGTTACAGGGCCCAAGTTATTTATGCATAATAAAAATGAAATCCATTAAAATGATACATTAGGCTTTTCTCCCCTATATCATCTCTTTAGGGAGAACATTTGCTCATTATAAAACACACATGATATTGAACCAAAAGATTACTTTGGATCCTGAAACCAAAGAGGTTTCCAATGATTCTTCAACCAGAAAAATGGAGGCATGGAGTCTGAATCTGAGACAGGCAAATAATTCTATCCCCCAGGCCCACGCAGGTGGTGCTATTCTGCCCAGACATAAAGAAACCTTTACGTAGCTATATTCTGGAATATGGTCTACCGTTGAACTCGCTCAAGAGGACCTTTCCTACACATTTTCTCCTGTGCTCTTAGAATCTATGCCACTGTGGAAAGCCCAGTGGGCAGGCAAGTTAATTAAATAACACACAAACACGTGCACAACTAGTCTCATCTCGTGCTTAGCAGCCCTGATAACACACAACACTCTCCCCATGACCTCTGTATAAATACTTGCTGTCTCCTATTAGGATAATCCATGCAGGTGATAACTATGAGAATACATGATGAGCGAGGACATTTTGAATTAAGGCTCAGGTCTCAGATGATATTCTCGGTGTGTTTCTATACACACAGGGTCCTCAGTTATCAGTGACATTTTTTATTCTGCTCTGCAACCAAAACACTGTTCTAATCACTATGTTGTACACCTGAAACTAATATAACATTGTATGCCATCTGTAATTGGAAAAAAAATTTATTTAAAAATAGGTGGGAAAATGGAGACAACTGTACTTGAACAATTAAAAAAGTAAAATAAAATAAAACCCATTTATTCCAAGTATATAAAAAATAAAATCAAAATTCTGGCTGAATAAACTAATTATATATTATAACTGAAGAAAGTATTTTGCCTCACAGGCTGCAGAACTCTTTCGTACTTGAGAGGAGCGCCTCAATACGGCAGAATGAGGACTATGTGACGGCGACAGTGTGACACAAACCAACATTAGGTGCGAGATCAGGGTCTGGGAAGGAGGGGAAAACTCCCTGACTAAATAAGCACATTCTGGATTAACACCCTCAACTCCTTAATAACACTGATGTTATTGCATTTTTGATCTGGTAGCATCAAGTTGCAGCCCATGATGAGTCAATGTCTGGCTCAAGCAGACACTCACTGAAAGGAAATCACAGCATTGCCTCTAATACTGTAGTTATTTCATCAATGTAAAAGAAACAGCATCAAAAAATGTTCCTTGCAGACACATAGTATAAAAAAATGAGAGTAAAAAGCACCGGGGTGGCGGGTGGGGTGGGGCAGGTAAGGAGAATACATTCACAACATCTATAATGCGTAAGGCGTCTTCAGGTGTGTTGGTGTTAGCTGCCCCCACTGCATATATAAGCAAACAGAGTCTCAAAGAAGTAAAATAATCTGCCTAAGGACACAGCTAGCAAGTGACCAGTCAGAACTCAGGCTTGTCTAATTTTATAGCCAGCGCATTCTGCACAACATCACTGCTGCCTAGTTTAACCACACACTTTGCAAGGCATTTCATGTAGAGTTTTCAAGTAAGAATTCTCACTATGTTTAGGGATCGAAATTTGTACTGGAAGTGAATTCTGACCTTTTACCTAAAAAAGTAGTTACACGAAAACATAACCTTTTGATAAGGGTCTGGAATATTTTGCCATGAACTCTGAGAAGTTTTTAGATTTCTAAATACAATTTGCAAATATTTACATGAACTGAAACTATATTACCAACTAAAGCTAAATAGTTTGGGGTTTTTTTGGCTGTTTAAGTTATTCAATAAGTAAAACACTAGAATCCAGTGAAAGAACAGCATTGAAACATGTGGCAAAGAAAACCTATACACCTTGGACCTCATCATTCAAAATGGTCAATTTCCATGACATACATATGGTCTTTCTGTTTATGGTCTTACTTGTGATCAGATGTCAGGCAACAGTTAACCAATCCTAGACGTAGCATTGAAGTTCAAAATCTGACCCTAGCTGTGAAAGTGGATTTTATCTTAAATTAGGAGAGAAAATTAACTTATACGAGTTCTATTGTGAAGTGTGCACAAATTTTCTTTAAAAAAAAAAAAAACCCGAATGTGAAAAAGGTAACCTTCTATATTATTCCAGCTGTTTCCAAATCCTTATTCCAGCTGTTATTCCAAGAGCATGGAGCATTATTTATCTAAAGTGCCTAATCTCCAATGAATTCATACTGTAGCACTCAGGTACATATGTCAATTTTCCACCAGGACACCTGGTACATGATATCCATATTAAAGAGTACACAGTGGAGGTCATTAAACAGAACCTGCACCAATGTGCCGTACCCACATCCTGAACGATAAGTTGTTTTTTTTTTTTTAAACCACTTGCTACTTTAGGTTCTTCCAACCAGAAGAAAAAAACAAAACAAAACCCAATTCTGTCCACAAAATGTCCTCCCAGCCATGGTGCCCAAATCCACAGCCAGAGTGAAAGGTCTTAAATAGTTAAGTAAATGTAAACCATGAGCTTCTCTTAAAAAATGAAAAATAATTTTTAAAAAAAGATGAGAGAAGTTTCGAACAGCCCCACAGTGTTCTCACAGAATGAGGCAGTCTTTTATTTAAAGTTTTGAAGCGGCTTCACCGCTGTCCCATATGGGGTCTTAAAAGAGTCCAATTCCCACAGCTTACCTTGCTTAACTAAGTCTCGGTGCACACAATACCAAAAAACTTGCAAGACAGGTAAGCAGGATCAAGCTCTTGGGTAAAACTGCTTACTCTCTCCTGATTGCATTCGTTCCCCAAAGTTCTCTCATTAAAAGTTCCAACCAGGATGGTAAACGCAAGACATTCCCTAGCCCCTCGATAACAGGGCTCTTTCAGTCCTTCCTCCACGGCCACCGCCAGGCAGAGCCCTTGCCCACCTATGTAGAGGAGTCCGGCAGGTGGCCATCTGGAGACCCCGAGGTGCCGCCAGGGCGACACAAAGTTGCGCACAAGGCCGGCCCCAAGAGGCGCTGCCCGTGACAGTCGCGCTGGCCAGCGAGGCCCTTAGGGTGGCGTGCGTCTCGGCAGGGCCGGCCGCGGCCGTCACTCCGGCCAGCCAGGAGGCGTTCGCTCCCCGCAGGGCGCCTCCACCTACGCCCGGCGGGAGCCTCAGCCGGGACGCACGGGGCCTCAAGACGCCGTCGCTGAGCTCCCGGTTGGAACCCGGAGGGCCCAGAGATGTCCCTCCACCCCACGATCCTCGGTCACTCACCCTGGGGCCGGACAGCAGAAACGCCAGCAGCAGTAGCAGCAGCCGGGCCGGCATGGCGAGAACTCTGTCACGGCTCCGGGCCCGGCCAGCGGGCTCTGGGGGGGCGGTGCGGACGGGCGGAGGACGGGAGGGGGTGGGGGCCGCGACGACAGCGCGGCGGTGGCCAGACTTCAGTGAACGCAGAACAGACTAGGCGGTGGCGGCACCCCCATTCCTGACCCTTTAAGCGCCGGCTGCGGGCTCTTCTTCCGGTCGGGGCGGGGCCGAGGGCGGGGCCAGCCTAGGGGTGGGCCAAGACTGGGCAGGGGCGGATCCGGGGCGGGGCTATCGTGGGAGGTTGGGACCAGGGGCGGGGCCTAGGGTCGGGCGGGTGTCTGGCTGGCCCAGGTCCGACGACCGCCACCGCTGGACAGAACCAGGCCTAGGCATACGGCGTCTAGGGGCTCCGAGCGATCGAGTCTAGGAGCTTACCTGAGTGCGGAGGAAGGCCGATAGCCCTGCCACAGAGGCGTCCCCAGAAGGTCCCACTAACCCCTCCGAGAGACCCACTGCTTCTCATTTGGTCAGGGGAAAGGACAGGAGACTGGCGGCGCCGGCTGCCCAGAGCCCCTGCTCGTCTTCCCGCCGTGGTGGAATCATCGGCGACCTCCGGAACGAGGGACAGCAGCTCACAGAGGATTCTAGCAAACACAGCCCTTCTGCCCTGCGCTCGGCAGTCGCCTAGTCTACAGCCCTGGGGTCTTCCAGCTGTGAATCAGCTAGTCCAAAGGCCCCTTCATAATTTCCCCACCCCTCAGGAATTCCCCTCAAAGTATGTCCAACAGCCATCAGTTCCTTTTGAAACAAACGACGGCCAAATCATTTGCCAAAAATTATAAACAAAAAAGGAAACCATTTCGGCTGCTGGTGTCATGGATTTTATGTGGCATTTGTTTATGTGACCTCCTCTTGGGTTGACATGTGTCACAACTCATTGGAAGGAGTGGGTGTGCTGAGGTCTCAAACAAGGTCTATTTGAGGATTATGGGCTATTAAAGAGCCCAGCAGCAATGTGGTCACTGGGTCCCATGCTGCCCTCTAGTTAGATGGAAGAAAGGACAGAGGTTATATTGTTTGTAATGAGTAAACTAAGATTGAGAGCACAACACTAATAGATCATAGGAGGAAAAAAGCTGGGGGGAGGGGATAGCAACTTCTCTAAAGCTTCCCGGCCCACTCATAATACAATGCAAGATTTTTCAGGGGTTGGGGAAAGGAGTAAGCAATGCTAGAGAAAATAGCAAGGAAGTAGTTGGGGGGACTGACCCAGTATCTGGTCTGTGTGGACTGTGGAGCAATCCTATCCAACTGTAACACAGAAATGTTTGTAGTAAGCCAAAATCCTGTAAACAGAGTTCCCTATTCCCAACCCCCTACGCTAGGTCACAAAGGACTAATCTCTTCCCACCAACGCTGGAGAACCCAACACAGCAGCTTAAGAGCAGTGTGAATATTGGCAACTGTGAAAGTGGTAGACACATGTCGAAAAGTGTTAGCTGCATGTCTGCAAACAGAGAGGTTTAGAATTGGTGGAGAGGTGGGTTAAAACAGAGGCTGCATCTCTCACGAGCAGTGCGGCCAGGTGCCCAGGGAGGAGCCCTTAATGATTACCTGTCCAGCTTGCAAGCTGACAACAGGATCTGTAAGACCACGTGAGTTGGAAGGGAAGCTTGACTGGAAATCACCACTTTCACATCCCTTCTCCAGACCTTTTTCTCAAACAGAGTAAGTCTAGGAGAGGAACCATCTGTGCCAAAACTGTGGCAGCCCTTTGACAGGGCAAAATGTCACTGTGACCTTGTAAGCACCAGCGGATGAAATACAAAGGGTAATGCTTACCTAGATCTGACTCATAAATCAGTTTTAAAGATCCAATAAATTAAAAAAAAATCCATTCCAAGGAGCCTGGGTCAGGTAGGTATATTTATCTCGTACTCAGCCAGACCAAACCCCCAGAACTTAACCGCTCTGTTGTATGTTCTCAGAATTTCTTATGCATCAGTTAGGTTGCTCTTACATTTAATCAGTTGACATGTTTTATGCAGTTCACTTGACTGGTAACTCATACAGATAAGCTTTGGTTTGATTTATGGCAGAATTGCCCACAGCCAGGCATTGCTTAGACAGGTTTTTTTTTGTGTGTTTTTTTTTTTGCTTATGATAAAGTAAAAACTGGCCTTACTGATAAATACAAACAGAAATGAAAATATTTTGTAGAGTGCCATATAAAAGACTTTTCTGGAAGTTGCATTAAATAGCAACCTCTAAGCAAGGCAAAAATCATGGTATTAGTGTAAAGATAAACCCTCTTTTTGCACCAAGGTAAAAAGTAAATAAAAATATAAACATATATATCAGCAGGACCTAAATAATATATCTGGACCATGAGTAGTGGAAGAAGTGTAATTAAAATCTCATTTTCATTTCACTCTGAAACAGTGGTTCCCAAATTTGAAGAGCTTTTAAAAAGCTGATTTCTAACACCTTTTCATGCCCTCTTCCCCTACTGATTCAGAATCTCCAGGGATGGAGTCCAAAGATTTTGTGTTTTCTAGTGTCCACTAGGTGACTAAGGGCACGCAAAATCCTGGGATCCAGCTTACTCGTAAGGTACAGTATTAATCCCTATGGCCAAGACAGCCCTTTATTTATTTTAGCAAATGTCGCCCCCTAGTGGAGCAAATTATGACCAAGTCTTTAAGAGAGTTTATGCTTCATTTCTGTTTAAAACCCCTCAAAATTTAATTTTAAAAAGATTATGAGGTTGCTTTGCAGATAGCTATTTAGTGAGAGAGTAGCTACATTTGAAAGAAAAATATGGTAAAACCAAAAAGGGAGGTCGTGGTTGAAAGCTCCAGTAACTTCTGAAAGGAACAGTGTCTATCAGAATAAGTTGATTCTGACTTATTTTTAGTGATCCTGGTGCTGTTGCTGAGCTTTCAGACAGATTTGAACTTACAGCACATGTGGAGTAATTATGGGAAAAATAAAACGATGGTGCAGGAGTGTCTGGTAGCAGGCTAACTTTCTATCTCTTTTGTGTCCTGAAGTTTAAGGGAAATTGAAGAAAAATCGCTGTTGCTATGAGCAGTTTGGTTCCTAGGTAAATAGGACTTTGACTCTTCCTGTTCTAGGATGATTGGATTTGAAAATGTTGTGACAGTCATTCTGAAGAACTTCTCTTTGCCATAGAATCTAACCTACTACACACTTTCTTGTATCACAATAGTGAGTTTCCTATTACTGCAGTTAATATTTATTGGCTGCTTGCTATTGTTTGGAAATGTACAAAAACACATGCTTTACATACAGGATCATCTTCCTTTATCTGCACAGCAGTTCTCTGAGGTGGGTGTTACCAGCCCCATTTTCCAGATGCCACATTGAAATCTTAAAAGGTAAATAGCGGGGAGGGTGACACACAGCTAGTAAGAGGCACAATCTGGATTAGAGCCCAGCTACCTACATGACTTCAGAGCTTGTCCAGGCCACCTTAGATGCTAGAATGTGGTCCACCATTAGCTGGCTATTATTCTTGCGCGTCCTGCAGCATTATGACAAGGTAAAATTATGTGGCAAGTATAGTTAGGCAGTAGCACAGATTGGTGTGTCCCTGGAATACTAAAGACAAGCAGAACATTGTACACATACATGGTGACAGGGGACACTGTCTCAAAGGACATGTAAGTCTCCCGATCTTATCTGGGGTTTGTGCAAAAGAATGTAAGAAACAGAGCAGATATCTGGGAGAGAATAGTGAGCTTTCCCCAGGCTTTCTGCCCGGGGGGTAGTTCAGTCCAATTCTGATTATTTGTTCCTTGCCTCTGAGATGCTCTGTTTCACACCCATTTGTGCCAAGTCTGTGTCACCATGGTGCCCATAGTGTCGCCAGTATATTAATATTCTCAAAGGCCCAAAGCAGCACCATTGTGGAAACTGCCCTCTCCGAGTGCCTCCACTTCCTCACTGGCCAGTCCCTCCTCACCCCCTGGGGTCTGGCTTATTGCCACAGAACTCTCTGGAAACAGGTCAAGCAGTTCATAAAAATTCTTCCTCCTGTAAAATCCCAGTGGCCATGCTTCACCTTTTTTTCCATAGGCCTCTCTTCATTACAGGTGTGTTAACTGTTCCTTTTTCTTGAACTTTTCCACCTTGAATATTACCATTTTCTGGATCTTTTTCCTTCATCTAGACTGTGTTGTTTTTCTTTTTTTATTGTTATGTTTGACTTCTCTTTAATTTGCAATTTTTTTAAATTATTGTTCAGTTACGGTTGTCTCACCTTCTTCCCGTTGCTCTCCCCTGCCCCGCCCTGCCGACTGAGTTTTTCAGGACTTAATATGTATACCTTATCCACGTTTCTCAAGGTTTAATATGTTTACCTTACCCATTCTATTTCCTTTTCACCTAGGAGAGTTCAGTCATAGACATAACCAAATTTTAGAGCAGAATGGAACTTTAGCTATAATTTAATCAGCTTCATTTTGGAGATGAATTCATCTTTGACCTCTACATGGATGACTACCACTCATTCATTCATTCATTTTTTTTTCTTGTTTGGTATCCTCACTCAAGAATATCCATTTATTTATTTATTTATTTATTTATTTATTTATTTTATTTAGAGAAAGAGGAAGGGAAAGAGAAAAGGGGAGAGAAACATTGATGGGGGAGAGAAACATTGATGTGAGAGAGAAACATTAATCCATTACCTACTGTACGTACACAGCCTGGGGATCAGATCCGCAACCTAGGTATGTGCACTGACCGGGAACTGAACCTTCAACCCTTCAGCTACTGGACAACACTCCCACCAACTGAGCCCTATCAGCCAGGGTTGGCCATTCATTCATTCTTTTAACTAATATCACTAAGGGCTTCTGAGTACAAAGGATTCGTACCATGAAGGAGCATCATAAGAGTTTGCAAGGTGGGAAAGCTAATAGGACATGCACAGAAATAACCAGCATACAAGGCTGGCTGTGAAGTATGAGAAGGCAGGAATAAACTCAGAAATAGAACTATGTCTGGTGGAAGGAAGGGGGCTGGAAAGATAGAGCAGAGAGGGCTTCATGGAAGAAGTGGCATCTGTGCTGAACCTTTTGCCAGATTTGACAGGGGAAAGGCTACCCTAGGGGGAGATGAAGAGAGGTGGGGAAAGGAAA